CGAATCCCACTCCTTGGAATTTACCCAAAGAATACAAGTTCTCAGATTCAAAAAGATATATGCACCCCATGTTTATCACAGCACTATTTACAATAGCCAAGATACGGAAGCAATCTAAGTTTCCATCAGCAGATGAATGGATAAAGAAGAGGTGGTACATGTACACAATGGATATTATTCAGCCATAACAAGAAAACAAATTATACCATTTGCAACAACATGGATGGAGCTGGAGGATATTATGCTCAGTGAAATAAGCCAGGCGGAGAAAGACAAGTGCCAAATGATTTTCCTCATTGTGGAGTATAACAATGAAGCAAAACTGAAGGAACAAAACAGCAGCAGACTCAGGGAGTCCAACAAGGGTCTTGTGGTTACCAAAGGGAAGGGGTGTGAGAGGACAGGTGCAGAGGGAGGGAGAAGGGGATGGAGGGGTATTATGTTTAGTACACATGGTGTGGGGGGCCACGAGGAGAACAGTGTAGCACAGAGAAGGCACATAGTGAATCTGTGGCATCTAACTATACTGATGGACAGTGACTGCATTGGGGTATGGGTGGGGACTTGATAATAGGGGTAAATGTAGTAACCATATTGTTTCTTCATGTGAAACCTTCATAAGAGTGTATATTAATCATACCTTCATAAAAAAGTTAAAATAAATAAATAAATAACTGTGGTAAGTATATTATAAAATTAAATACTAAAAGAAGAATAAATCTAGATACAAAATAATGCAATGAAAAGAAAATGTAAAATAAAAAGCTGGGTTTATAGCTTCAGATTAAAGACCAGAAAAAGGCAAAGAGCATGAGTGATATATACATATGTTAAATAATAGAATTTAAAAGCATTTCCTCTAAATCTGCAAACAATATGGTCTACAGAGCACAGAAGTAAAAATGAAAATAAATAATTAGAAGAACAAAAGGGCAAATTTTAAGTTATGATAAATGTACATTGCTTAAATTCTTCTGTTAGAAGGCAAAGACTCTCAGAATGCATAAAAATAAAAAACCTGCTACATTGCTTACAAAAGAGATATCAAAATCAAAACTTCCAAAAGTTAAAAAGAATATGATACATAACCTATCAAGCAAATGCACAGAAAAGGAAGAATGTGGAATATTAATATTGTTTCTGTGCAGTAAAGAATTTAACAGTGCCCGAAGAGAGGTCTCGCTTTTTTGCCTTTGGCTCCTGAGAGGTTATTTCTAAGCTCTGCAAATGTCTCACCTGGGAAGAGTATCTTTGTTTACTTGGGAGCTTTGGGCCCCTCCAGAGTCTAACAGGTGATTCATAGTGAGGACTTTGGGTCTCCCAGCTTCAGCTTGCCCAACACAAAGACTGGAGACAGAGGTCAACCACGGGGGCAGATGACTATGTCTACTGACAGAGGCCCAGTAAAATCTCTGGATGCCAAGGCTTGGTTGAGATTCCTTGGTTGGCAATATTCCATGCCCTCTGTTTCATATCATTACCAGGAAAACCAGTGTTGGCCATGACTCCACCACAAGAGGGCAACTGGAAACCCCATGGATGGAACTTTCCTGAGCCCTTCCCCATGCATCTTTTCCATTGGCTGATTTTAATCTGTATTTTTCACTTAATAAAGCATAACTGTGAGTACAATTGATTTCAGTGAGCGCTGTGAATCCTTCTAGCAAATTATCAAACCTTTAGGTGGTCTTGGGAATTGCCTCTAATTTTGCAGTTATTATTATACATGATAGATAACATTAGTATCAAGAGAGTCTAAGCTATCAAATGTTACAAAATAAACATGTTTTACATATAAATAACAACTGGCAGAATCAAAATTAAAGATTTGTCTTTTGTGTTTATTATAAATAACCTTGATTTAAATAATGTAATTAATCAATTAATAACACATAAACCAGTATGCCCTGGAGGGAACAAGTCCCCCTTCCCTATTTTTATCTTTGGCACAGTTACAGAAAACTGACATATATTAAGAAACACACTTTCTTTCTACATACTGTAAGACTAGAAATTAACTTTAAAAAACAAAAATCCACTACAAACTACTAGATTAAAGGAGGAAATTAAAACTTTAAATTAAAAAAACACAAAAAAGCATCACTAAAAAAACCAATGTAAATAAAAGAAGCAGAGAACACAAACACACTGAATCGATAAGAAGGGCCTATAACATGAATTTTAAATGACTTAAAAATTTTAATTCAATGCATGAAATCTTGAGAATTTCAAGGGAAAACCAAACCAAAATAAGCAAAGCACAGAAGATCAAAATTTTTAAAGTGTGTGTATATATATTTATATAACTGCAAGTGCCAAACCCACTGACCCATCACAGTGTCTCTACAGGAGAACAAGCCAGACACTAATGACCTCCTGACATGATAAAATAGGAAGCACACAATACCATGTTTGGACAAAAATGCTGAAACTGAATCTCTCTAATGTCCAAAGAGATAAGCCCAAGCAATATAATGGATAATAAAATAAGTTAAATAACACCAGAAAGAAGTAATCAGTCGAAATCAGAGGATGGGTCTACTATAGGATAGATAGGCTAATTTCTTAAACAAATCAATAGCATGAAAAAAACAAAAGACAGGAGAGAAAGGGGGAGGGGACTGAAGCACTGAACCTCATCTGGACCTAGATTTAGACAAACCAACTAGAGAAAAGAGAGCTGGAAGGTACTGGGGAAATCTGACCATGGACTGGGAATCGGATGAGAACTACTGAAGCTTTGTGAGCTATGGTGCTATGATTATGGGGGTAAATGTCCTTATGTGGGGGCTTCACACCAAAGTACACAGAAATGTCATGCTGCTCGGATCTGCAAAGCACAGACCAACATCACTGACGCCCCCCCTTCAATTATTCTCTCTACTTCCAGTGTGTTGGAAATTTTTCATAATAGAGAACTAAAACAAATTAACTGAGCAGATGACTTATTAGCTCTGCCAATGTACTAACATTTTTCAAATTTTCAACATACAACTCCTCATCGACATTACCCATTTCACAGAACATACATGTACAGATTCATGATTCTGTGTAACATTAAAACCAAAACTTGACCAAAAAGCTTTTAAAGACTACAGATCAATTTCACTTAAAATCACAGTTGGAAAATTTTCTAAAGAGCTACTAATAAATGTTATATAGCACATTAAAATATCGACATTACCCATTTCACAGAACATACATGTACAGATTCATGATTCTGTGTAACATTAAAACCAAAACTTGACCAAAAAGCTTTTAAAGACTACAGATCAATTTCACTTAAAATCACAGTTGGAAAATTTTCTAAAGAGCTACTAATAAATGTTATATAGCACATTAAAATAATTGCCCAGAGAAGCAATAAGTTTCTCACATACACAACTGTACCTAAAATATAATTCCAATTTTGTTACACATATAAACTAAGAGATAAAAAGATCTAAAGGAAATATATCCAAATGTTAAATGATTATCTCTATACTGAGATTACAGGTAATTTGCTTATTATTTTTCTGTTTAATATTTTTTGTGATACATATTTCATTTACATAAAAAAAGCCAGACATATGGGTGTGTCTATAATTTTCAAATTTACTATTAAAATTATTTTCTATGTACCACAGAGTCACTTGCTTATTAGTAGTTCGTCAGCATTATCTTTGTTAGACTTTAAGTCACCAATATACTTGTAGGGCAAATGTCTAATGTCTAATAAATGAGACCTCATAAATTTTATGCATCAAATAAAACTTCTTGAAGTCTGCCAAGAGTGAAGCCATAAATAAACAAATACAAATATACATGTATATACAAATACATGTTAAAAACACAATGAAGAGAAAAGTCAAACATTTTTGCTAGTGAGATAATTTTCTTTAAAATAATTTATGATAACTGCTAATCACATATGGCAAATTACCATTTGCATACCTACTCAGCATACTAATAACTTAATTCTACTTGATAACTCTAAACTCTGTTCATATGTACTCAGGTTTCTATTATCAACATAGTAACACTGATAACTCAGAACATCATTAAACACAAAGAAAAAAAGAAGCGCAAAAATGCACACCATCATAAATACAGGGCACAGAATACTATCAAAGAACACTGCCGACTTTTCTGTTCCTTCCTAGGCAGTCACATTTTACTCCTTCAAAAACCTAACTTCTACCTGCAAGGAAAAAACTCTTATGTGTACATTTAACTTGTCACAGTCAACTATGAATGTCTGGACCAGGAGGAGAGGGGTTTTAAAAGCAATGAAGTGATGTCTATGCTTTAAGAATAAAAATTAATTTTAAAAAATGAAGTCTTTCTGAATTGAGGAAGGGTGGCTTCCTACCCTTCTGTAGTTAAGAGTTACAGTACTCAGCCATATAGGCACTTATGTTTATAAGTGTCTTCATTTTTAAGAAGAATCAGACTTTTATTAATATGTTTTACTTTTTACTAGGTAAACAATAATTGATTTCTATTAATTAAAGGTAATTTTAGGGGAAAAAACCAACATGAAATGTCTAAAGCTACGCTATTTCTACTTAATACAATTTTTCTCACATATATGAATGACACGGATGGTGGACAGACAATGACTGTGCATGGGACAGTGGGGGTATGGGTAAAAAGAACACATTGTCATCAAACAAACACAATGGGTCACACTTACAGAAACATGTCTAAGACAGTGATAGGGCTATATAAGGATTTTTAAAATGCCAGAATTTTACCCACTGGGATTTAATTTCTTATCAGCCCTGGAGATTCGGCATGGTGGCGAGGCAAAGTAGTTTCCTGTTTCACACATGCATGATGGGTCAACAAAAGCCTCTGAGACACATATTTAAAGTACCAAGTCTTCAAAGAGATTCCAGCTAGTCCGCAACAAATATTTACAGCATATTTTAGAGCTCTACTCTTATAAATACAGACTGAATATCACACCCTGCAAACACTGCACAAGCAGTGTCAGGTCCCCACCGTGCGCGCCTTACCCGAGAGGGCATCCTGTGCTTCAAAGAAGGTACTAAGGCCGCCCTTCGCGTGGGCCAGGCTGCCTTCGCTCTTCTTGCTAGCCTGTCTCTTCAGGTTGGTGACTGCCGCTTTGAGTTGCTCAAAACTGGAATGAAACAAAGAAACCAAAGGTTTGAGACTCTGAAAAAGCAAAAAAGAAGTGAAATAATCTAGTAAGGATAAAATACTGAAATCTATGTTAAGAAGGATACATATCGACCAAATAAGTAACAAGATGAAAACAAAAAACTTTCAAATTCTGACCTACAGCCAAACTTTATTTATTATGACTGCCAAAATTATAGCAGCTATAAAAGAGACCTATAGCCCTCAAATGGTCTTTCCAAGTATGTCAGAACTCTAAAAAGTAACTGTACATGTACATTTTTTTTTAACCAATATAACCCATATACATGATTTGCAGGTAAGGGGTTCGAGTAGCATCTCCCTAAATGGGAAGACCTAGATCGTGCAGGGGTGAGCTCTAAGGCAAGACTCCTCTGCGTGTTCATGTCTGTATCCTGGACATAAACTCAGCGAACTGTTATCTTCACCATATTGATACCCAGTCCTGTGTCATTAATAGTGAGATTTAAGAAAACCTGTGTATAATAATTCACAATTTAAATAACTTATAAGACCACAGTATTTTATCTCTACATCTCAAGAAGAGAAAAAATACACAGGCTTCTATTTTCAGAAGTTTTATTTCCATTTGGGCTAAGAAAATCTGACTATAAAACTCTGAATATATTCTCAAGTGCCATGATAACCCTACACAGAAAACAAGAGATCAGTCAGGAACTGCAGTAACGCACATTACACATCCATAATGTGAAGTTAGAACCATTTTCTACAATGAAAGATTTTAGACATTTGCTTTCAGAAATTCATCAGGCCAAATATACTCTACATATATACCAACTTTTCCTTATGTTTTCTACTAGCAGTTTTCATCTAACAAGTGAAGGAAGAATTTCTCCTAAGGTATATTTCAACAAATTGACTATTCAAGAATATAAGCTTTAAGCAATAAACCACTCATTTACTCATTTTTACTGTATATAATTGTTTTAAACCAGTCTCGCAGAAAAGACTGGGTTGTTGAGAGAGCGAGTGAAATGTAATTAGCAGACAAAAAGGAGAACTTTAATTTGGCTATGTGACCTTGTCTATTTTTTGGCTAATTTTAAGCCACATTTTTGCAAATGATAAACCAACTCATCTGCCTTTACTCTAAGGACAGGGAAGGAGGTGTGTTCTGTATTTTGCACCAGGACTTGAAAGTTTTGTTATCTGAGTGGAGAGGTTACACTCAGACACATTAGATCAGGTGCCCAGCCAGGATGCCACAAAGTTTTAACGGGTTACACAAATAATTAAACACATAGAAACAATACGATAACAGGAGGAAATAAGGTTCACTAGTTAATCATCCCACTTTATAAATGAGGAAACAGATACCCTGAGATGTTCACAAGCTCACAGTCAAAAGGCTCCTAAATCGCAGAACCAGAATTAAAACCCACATTGCTGTGCAATCCTACTAGCCACAGCCAAGTGACACCAGTCACAGTCAAAAGTCCAACACCCACTGACCTGGTATTTGAGTGGTTCTCTATAAGATACCAGGCAGCTGAAAAATTCTCACTTGTAAAATCAGCACTCATTCCAGGGAACAGCATTTCTAAGTCCTTCTGGGGAAATTTACTTCTGAGGGAGAAAAAAGGTTTAAAATTTATTTCATATGTATTATTACAAAAATATAACAGACATCCTGGACTATGTAGTATAACAAATATGAAAACCATTGTAATTATATACATCATACATTATGGAGCCTATGTCTGTATGTGTGTACAAAATATATTTCTTATATCTTAGCTGATTTCCTATCATATAAACTGTATATGTAAGATAGAAAATTAGTTAAAATATATCAATAAAAGAACAAGATTTATTATGAAATCTATCCTGATATATTATGAAATCAAACCAAATATGAAACCATTCCCTACTTAATGGATAAAAATAAAAATTTGGATAGTGAAATTTTAAAACACTAAGTCAGTTTGTTAAAATGCTTTTTGTTAAAGATGTATGTATAAAAGTTGTTTTAAGACACACTAATGCCTAATGATAATGCCTAGTGATAAAATCAGATCTAACTATACAGTACTCATAGTTACATGTCCACATCTAGAATAATTTTAAGAAAAGCTCATGATAACAGCCAATACATTACCTGCAGCTGGAAAACTGCATTTTTAGAAGTTTATTTTGTTTTGGATTCTTCATGCTGGTTTAATGATTTAGTAATAAAATCCTGTCACCTTTGGAAATAATTATTATTTTATTTATTTGTATAACATGCCTCCAAATTTGACCTTTTGGTGAATATAATGACCAAGGGGAGACTTAGGTTGAACCCCAGCTAAGTAACTAGAAACAGAGAGGGTACCTCACATAGTTCAACCTTAACTGGTGGACAGTGTCTGTCTAGAGTATTATGCCAAGGACCATGTGGCTTTGTCTAAACTGGAAAGAATGGCATAGTGAATTAGCAAGGTCTGTCATCAGTGTGAGGGAAGTGAATAGTGGCACGCCCGCCACTTTTTTGTCAACCTTACTTCTGTAAAATACTTAGGCTGATGTTCTATGTAGTCCTTATATTTTGCTTGCTCAGAAAGTTAAATAATCTTAACAGAATAAAAAAGTACTACAGAATCACCTGAGATTGACTAAATCCCTACTATTAACAGTTTCTGAATTATTCAACTATGTGAAATCCTCATCTAACAAGATCAGTTCCAAGCTAACAGATTGAAGACACAGCTGATAAAAAAAAAGCAGCAGAAAGGGACTCTGAGAAGCCAAACTGAGTTTCTTTATCCTTCATCCCTGTACTTTATTTTGATTGGGTTGTTTCCTACCCATAATCAAAACAGAAGCATGGAGAGAGGTTGCTAAAGTTAAGTGACAATATCAAAAAGGAATCTATGATACAATATGACACCAAATAAAGCAAAAAAGTATGAAATGCAGACACAAAACAAAAATACAGCAATTGCGTGTCATGGTGAAATGGCTAAGTCTACACAGTCCTTGCAGGTCTGACTGTTAAATCATGCTCAACATATTTAGTTAAAAAGCAAAACTACTTATCTTTTTCTGTCTGACATAGTGAGATCAAGGTGGACCCATGCTGTTGCAAATGACCAGATTTCCTTCTTTCTTGTGGCTGAATAATATTGCATTGAGTGTGTATACTACACCCTCTTTATCCATTCATCCACGAATAGGCACTTAGGTTGCTTTTCTGTGTCTTGGCTACTATAAATAGTTATGCAATGAATACAGGAATGCAGATATCTTTTTGAGATACTGTTTTTCATTTCGGTTCAATTTCATTTCATTTCAATACTCAGAAGTGGAATTACAGGGTCATATAGTATTTCTAATTTTTTGAGGACCCTCCATGGTTTTTCCATAGCGGCTATACCAGTTTACATTCCCACCAACACTGCACAAAGGTTTCCTTTTCTCTACATTCTCACCAGGACTTGTTATTTGTCTTTTTGATACTGGCCATTTTGACTAGTGTGAGGTGATAACTCATTGTGGTTTTGATTTGCATTTCCCTGATTAGTGGGTGTTGAGCATTTTTCCATGTACCTGTTGTTCATCTGTATGTCTTCTTTGGAAAAGTGTCTATTCAGGTCCTCTGCCCATTTTTAAATCACATTATTTTGTTTTACTTTGCTTTTTTGCTATTGCATTGCCTAAGTTTTTTATATAGTTTGGATATTAACCCCTAATCAGACCTGCAAAAATAAATGGAATGTAAAAAAAAAGGCAAACTCATAGGAACAGAGAGTAGAAAAGTGGTTACCAGGGGCTAGATGGTAGGGGAAATAGGAAGAGATTGGTAAGAGGGTACAAACTTTCAGCTATAAGATGAATAAGGTCTCAAGGGTCTAAAAAAGCAGTATATAAGGATGTATGTTATTAACTAGATGGGGAAATCCTTTCATAATGTACACATTTATTGAATCACCAAGATGCATACTGTAAATACTTAAATATTTGCCAACTTTGCCTCAATAAGACTGAAAAAGAAGGTTTTAAGAAAAGCCCAAAACTTCATCCCAAGATAAAGACTTGACACCAAACGGGGCTCTATCACATGAGACATTAAGAAATTTTTATCCCAGGACTCCGTCTCCACTTCTCTCCTTCTTAAGAGGGAGCAAGAATGGCTTGGCCACATCCCAGAACCATCTGGGGCCATGCTTACTATTACCAGCAGTGCAGCCACCTGGCAATAAGGAGAAGCAAGTGGGCACAGCCAGGCTTCCACAGATGCTGCATTCTCATCTCTTCAGTCATGGCTCTCAAGCTACTGGCAGAGCAGGAGTGGAGGGAAGAGGGTGTGGGAGGCCCTGAGATTGAGCTGTGGCACGAGTGTGACTGGTAAGTCGGTACCTTAGGTATTAGAGATGCGGCATGTGCTTCCACCAGAGAACTCAGTGATGAGATTGGAAGCATTCATCTACCTGCTAATGTCTCATTTCCCATGTGCTATTTCTCACGCATATATCCCCTTCAGGTACCTGTGAGTCAACCAGAGTTTGGAAAGCACTGGAGCTCTTGGTCAAAATACTATTGCCTAGCTCAAACCCTCAATTACTCCTAAGACTGAGTTATTTTATAGGGATTTCTTACTAAAGACATTAAAACTCTTTTACCATTCTTACTATATATATTTAAACTGGACAGAATATTGAGACCTATAGTAGGAATCAGACTTACAAGAATAAGACCAATTATATTAAAGATGACAAAACTCTAACAATGCTGTCAAATACTTTGCCCCAAATCACACAATTAAGTTCACTGTTGGCCACTGACATAATACTTATTCTCCAGCCTTTCAGATAAAGTAATCACACACAGCCTGGCACTCACACCTTTCCTAAGTAAATATTAACTAACCTAAGCCAATCATGCTTATCCTATTCCCTTGCTATTTATTTGAGTGATCTTCTTTTGACCAATAATGTCTAAGGAAAGATTTGTGTATTTCTGGGAAAGGTCTCCATACTTAAAAGAAGGAAAATCAAGAGACTGTGTATTATTGTTTCAGTAATATTATTTTTTATTATTACTTATTGTGTATTATTATTTCAACACCAGAAATTGCTAAAGTTATTTTGCAATATGAAGGAAATCCATGTTATGCTAATGGTAGCAGAACAGCAAACACAGGTTCCTTTCATCTTGGTGACATTACTGGGTCAAAGATCCAACCAATTATGCAGTCTACCATTTCTGGACTTTATGTATGAGAAAATAAGTATCTTTTTTGTTTAAGCCAAAATTAATTTTCATTTTCTCTTACACCTGAGTCAATAGTGTATTCCAAAATATATGTCTAAATATACTGACCTTTTATGCAAAGACTTGTGTTTATACAAAAACACAAGATCTGAAAAATGCAGACAATGAATGACAATGCCAAGAAGTGATGAAGTTCAGCGGGGAAGATATCTGCAGTGTTCATAATGGGAGGTGACAGTAATTAGTGATTAGACCACAGGCTGTGGGTTCAATTTCAAAGTTTGCTAGATTTGTCTATATAACCTTGGGGAAGTTTAAACTAAGGTTCCATTTATTCATGAGGATAATGGGATCATCTTAGTAATGTCTGAAAATTAAAGTAGATAATGCATGTAGCTTAGCAATTTCTGACACACAATAAATGCTCAAAAATGTTATTTGCTATTGTTTTTATCCTCTGTGCTTAATTCTTTATACTTTATAGACTATTTTCTGAAGTATCACTTTATTAGATTCTTGTAACAACACAGTGAGTTATATATTCCTATATCACAGTGAGGAACACCCTCAGAGAGGTTGCATGTAAACAGTTGAGATTTGTACCTGGTACTTCTATTGTCAGATAAAGAACCAGAGAATCTTAGGTATAAAAGAAAACCACAACTACAAACCTAGAAAGATGGAAATTTAAGGGTAAAATAGAGGAAGAATTGACTTAGATAGAGAAAACTGAAAAGGGCCTTAATAACAGTATTAGGAAAGGAAGAAGCGGTATGTCAGTGGAGCTGATGAAGGAGAAAGAACTAAAACTTCTATGTTCACAATAGCTGCTCTAACCCACCAAGTGAGGAGATGGCTTAACAAGTCATCCAAAGTAAGGTATATTCTGGTCATTCAAACTAAACCTACATTCAAAAAAAATCTACTAACATGGAGTTGAGAGTGAAAGCAATGCATACTCTACCACGTAAACTCATGACTTATTTCATTAAGGAATCATAAGTTTTAAGTAGCTGACAACTCTCACCACCCCTAAAATACATGCTTTCCATTAGATGGCAGTGCAAGCTCACATTTAAATCTTCTGACAAGGTTTAGCCTGGGCCATGGGAAGATCCAGCTATACGGATGGAGTGGGATGGAGTGGTCAGACGTAAAACTACCAGGAATGTTTTTAATATTATCAGCATTTGCTTTCAAGTGTGAGACTGATCTGCAGACCTAAGAGAAAGCAACACAACAAAAATAATTTGAGAAAAATTTGAGCCTCACACAGGGTGAGACCTGGTTGCAGTTGGGTTACTCTGTGTTTACATTGAAGAGAACATGTTTTCTTGATTTGGCAGATGGAAGGATGAAAGGTTGGGGAGGTGAACACAGTAAAAGTGGGCTTACAAACATAGTTCTCCTGAGTGTGTGTATATTATAGTCAGCTCTCTTAGCTTCAAATACTTAGCATCATTGTTTTCTTCTGTTGTAGTAAATACTATGAGCTTGTTTTTGGTTGCTTGTATATCGCTGTTTTCTTTCTTCTTCTTTTTGGTCTGACAGTTTCTTGATTTAAGCATTGTATCACAGCCACAATCTGTTTTGGTAATATTTTTAAAAGGTAAATTTATCCAAGGCTCATCTCTTTTATACTCATGCTAACAATTATTTTTGCCACCTTTCCTTGTTTTCTAAATGTAGCTGGGAAACTGGTCATTTTTTCTTTCTAGTGAGAAGAAAATCAGATTTGTAATGCCCATAAACCCAAGTGAAATAAAAGTTACTAGTGCAGATACTAAGGGGGCATCAATTAACTACTCTAGCCATTCCCAGGTAATAATTTCACAAAAAGATTGTAGATCATATAAAACAGAGGAAAAGCTCCACTGTTATGCCCTCACGCCCATTTAAGTACTATCTCCAAAAACATTAAATTCTCACTTTAGGCAAACATTACTTCTGAGAAATAAAACCTAGTGAAGTCTTTTACTTAATAAAAACCTGTTTTTACCTTCTTTTTCAGTTTACTTTAAACTGGAAATGCATGTTTCCATTACAATTTAAGCTGTGCAAAGAACACATCATATGTGACAATCAGAATAATAAATCAGAAATACAGAATTTTTACAACCAAATCCTAGCTGCAGTTCAAAGTGAAGTTATTTTTTTCTGAGCAATTAGTAACATTTTTATAAATATCAAGGCACCATGTGTGCAAAACATCAGTTAAAATTTGGGAATATAAAGCACTTTAGCAGTCGAAGGAGGCCAATAAATGCCAGTTGTTAAACTTGTGGGCTGAAAGACGACAGTGTGCATGCTGGGAACACCAATAAAATATTTATTAAACTGTGACTCACACCAATGTGCAAGAAGAAAACTATATTCTGTTACTCTCACTTGTTTTCTCATATTTAGTTGAACTGGCCACAGTACCACAGGACCACTCATTGCTCCACATTGTACACTGACTAGTCAGCTGATGAGAATTTTCATAAACATTCACACTGCAATTACCAGGAGTTGATTCATTTTCTAAAGGTGATCTCATCACTTTAATCTGATAATTCATCAGGACCACAGTATTTTATAACTAGCAGTCATAATTCTTCAAACCTCCTCAATTAACAAGCAAGTAATTTTAAAAACCTGTTACTCCTTCTCTGACATTAAAAAAAAAACTAAAAATAGGCCCTAGCTAACCTTTAATTATAGAAGAAACCCCCACATGACATTAATAGGCAGAAATAAAAGACAGTGAAGAAGGGCTCTTAAGAGATTCTAACCTGAATGGAACACCCTTCTCTATGGACAGGAAAGCTTTTATCTAAAAATTATTAAGTGAGTCAGGGAAATAAAACCCACATCAACATTTTAACATCTGCTTTTCCTTTCCTTTTCCTTTTTTTCTAAGACTTCTCTATCTGAGGTCAAAGAATTCAATAAAATAAATACAGTTTTCCTAACAGTATCTTTAAAAATATACAAAGGACCTAGAAAAGCATTTTCCTGGCCAAAAGCATTTTCTTCTCTTGGTTTCTATACCTCTTCCTACTTTCACCTTTCATTTTCCTGCTTACTAGTTTCTCTATCCTCGCTTTCTTTCAACTGGAAAAACTGAGAAAGGCTTCAAATGTGCAAAAAGATGGCTGGATGTCCTTTGCATTCCTCACCTTGATCTCGGATTGTCTCTATTTTGCAACTGTTTTAGAAACAGAAGCTAGCTTGTGCGGGTTGAGGTGACCAGGGACACCGGGCTACAGAAATACCTGTCAGATGATACGACTCAACACCACGCAGTGGGGGCAGCCAGTTTGCATCTTTCGGCATTCCTCATTGCCTATTACGTCTGTTATCTGTGATTCTCTTTTAACTGGTTTTAACATTTTACTGGATTCCCATTAATTAAATAAAAGCTCTGATGTGTTTATTTTATATCTGCATGCAATTCGTGATTTTACCTTTTCAAAAACTATCTTTTAATTATCCCATGGCTGAGCAAATTATTACTGAAACTTAAGTAACAGCTGGAAAAAATACTGTTGTTAATTTTATCACCATTTAAGTACTTCTTGAATTAACATACAAAAATACTATTTATTTTAAGATTATCATACAACTTTTAACCCTGAAATCTTTATAGTCATTAAAAAAAGATTAAGTGGTGAGCATGAAGTGTGTATGAATATATAATATATATATAATCTTATATATGTATTATATATAATATATATAAAAAGAGCAATGAATCATAGCAATAATGACTGTCATTTATTAGGCACTTGCTATGAGCAAGACACTGTTCTAAGTGCACTCACTGAATCCTCACCCCCACCCTATGACACAGGTACTCCATTCTGCACCTGAGGAAACTGAGGCAGAGAAGTTAAATGAGTCACTCAAAGTCATGCTGATAGTAAGAGGTAGGGCTATGATTCCAACTGAGAGAGCTTGACACCAGACTAAATTAGACTACTTGTGAGAGAAGAAAGAAGAAGATTGTTGAAGAGCCAAGCACTGTTAGTGCCATTATTCCTGGCTGCTATTACCAACATTACCAAATGATTATCCAAAAAGGTATTAAGAATGTGCTACTACTGAGAGTTCAAGCCTCTTTGTGGACAGCAGCAATCAGTAATAATAAAGATAATAAAAAAGGGAGGACATGAGAAGGTAAAGAGACCAGTGGGTTATATGCCAACCTAAAAATTAAGGAGATCTATTTTATGACAGTAAAAATCCAATTTAATCCTAACTTTGATAGTTCTGTCTACAGCTCATATAAAGTTAGACCATATTCCCACACTCCTTGGGCCATGAACAAAACTGAATTTTCCTTAGGAAAGAACAATCAAAGGGCAGCTCTTGCTCTACACTTCTGTGGTGGGCTTGAAAAGAAGCACGGCTTTTCAACAGTACTGAAGCTGACTGTTACAAGGTTTACTATGAACTGCAAACTCTATTCATGCTTCAAACTGTGCTCAAATAAATATCAAGCAATTACCATCCTTTTCCAAACTTTCTGATCTCAAAACTCTTAATTTATAGAGCATTAAAATCCTTGAAAGAGCTCCAGAATGATGAAAGGGCTTCAAAGATGTGACCTAGGACAGTCCAAGCTCACTAAAAGCTGTTAAGCCCCAGGACTTTTTCAACACATGGTAACTTCCCAAGACAAACACTTGCTCCCTCCCTCTTGGCCAGGGGTAAACCCCAGTACATGAAAAAGATGCTTGCTCTGTGAATTAATGGTCTTCAAGTGTAGGCTTGAAGGTTAAATATAAAAAGATTAGTGGAGAATTTTCTTGATTCCTAGAAAAACCTAAATTAAAGAAGTGTTAACAGAACTAATTTATCACCTTTAGTGTTTATGAGCATCACTCAGGTATGAACTTTCATGAACAGAATCACTAAGGTCAGAAAACAACCTAGACACAATTAATGTGTTAGACAAATTGATTAAGTAAGATATAAGGACAAAAGTACTAATTCTAAGAGTTACTAAAACACTGTACTAGAGATTAAGAAAATTCTAGATTTGGTTATAAGACATCTTGAAAGATATCATTTACCTGATACAATTCTGGTAAAGTATCTGAGTTTGGATTAAGTATAAATTATAGGCAGAGGCTGTAAACAAAATGAAAGACTATGCTGGGCCTAATTATTCTAAAATACTTCCCAGAAATTCAGCAAATGGAAAATTCTATTTTGATGTCAAGTACCATCTAAATATTTAAACTTACCAACCCCAGATAATTCATTAATCCTCATTATCATTAAAAGTGTTAGTTACTAAAAACTTCCAAGATACTTTTCTTCTTCACAAAATGTAAACTCAAAAAATTAAAAAGGTAAGTAGTTTTTGCCAGAGGTTTTAACTAACTGGAATGCAGCAGAGCTTATCAGCTTCAGAAATAACACCTGCCTCCCGAAACGGAAGTATCTTCACGGTGTTTTCCTTTACCGGATGGGTTTTTGGAGTTTGACTCTTCACTCTAAGTGTAAATGGAAATGAAGAAACTTGAAGAATGAAGACATTGACACTTACTTTTCAATTTCAATGCCAAGTGGATTAGCAGGACGAAGTGACAAGGGAGGAATTCCTTTATTCCTGTCGGTACGCATATCATAATAATTCATTTCATCAACCCACACAGCAGACTGATCCAAAATACCTACCAAAATGAGGAGCACACCCTTAATAAGACACAAAGCTCCTCCCCACCAGGCACTTTCTAAGTCTTGCCATATTGCTTTACTTTTCAAGGATGTAACATGAAATGCACACTAAGGTAATTTTTAAGTGATCTGAGGTCATAAAAGCTCCAATTTGTTTGTTTAAATGGCTGGTGTTTTAATTACAAACACTAGAAATCTATAAAAAGGCAAAAATAAAATCTCTTAGTTCATGGCTTCGTTGTACATTATTCAATAGAGAAGAAAATTAAGCCTCTGAGCAAGTATTCTGCTTAAACAAACATATTTTACAAAAAACAAGCAGTACAATTAATTTGGTTAATTCAACAAAATATCCAACAATGTCTTACATAAAGGAATCAGTCAAACACCTTCCAAGGAATGCACAGCTTATGTAATGGAAGTGACTAGGATGAGGCAGATCCCTGTGAACAAACTGTAATCTCTGACAAGGGTACTCTCTTCTATGTGACTGAGCCCTTGGCATAGGACTTAACTAGCTTACCACCTACAGACCTGAACTGCAATAGAAAATAGACAAAGTGCCAGCAAGGAGAGAGGTGGGGCTCAAGCGTAGGAAGGCTTCGTGAAGAAAGGGTATTTGGTCCCAGCTACTTCTAGCTGTTTGAACCTTTGTTAACTCACTAATTCTATCAGCTCCAACAGTCCTGCCAGGATGTGATGAGAGGCTTTGTCAGAGGTTTTGCTCAAGTCCAGAAACTCCTGAGTTCAGCTCAGTAAGCCTTCATTGAGCATATACTGCGCTAGGTCCTGGCAGATTGTTTAGGAATAAAATTAATACCTTCAAATGTTATTTTTATCTGGTGTATAAACATGATATAAGATGATGCTAGAGTCTGTCAGAAAGTTTCAGGTTTCTCCAGAAAACTGGTAACAATTCTGGCTTTAATATCACTGTTCAGGTTTTGAAGACGTTAAATAAAAATAGTAAATATAAATAATAATATATATGTACATACATATGTATGCATACAAATATCTGTACACATATATAACTTTCATTTGAATCTTCCCTTAAATTTCTTAAATTTTTATTCATGCAAAAGAAATCTAGGAATTTAGGGAAGACAATGCTGCAGAAGGGCTCTATGCTCTAAACAGAAAACAAAAACAATCTGCAAAATTATTTTTCTCTATGAGAGAGAATATGAGAGAGAAGTATGGCCTAGGTTTAATTACACCTGGTATATGCCTGCATTATATAAATACTTATCAAGAACTGACTGGGCAAGACATTGCAGGACCAAAAAGATGAATCTGACATTTTTCTTATTTTAGTAAGGGCAATGGCCATCCAAAATAGCTATGAGAATAATAATTCAAAATTATTTTGTTGAGCGCTTACTTTGTATAAGGGGCTATGTTAAGCACTTTACATGTATGTTCTAAATCACTTAATCCTAGAGGCAGGTAATACTGTTATTCCACTCTGACCCACAAAGAAACTAGGCACAGCCAGCACACAGGAACCAGCTCCCAGGCAGCAGTGCTGGAGCCCAGGTTGGCGCTCTGAGTCGGCCTCCTCAGACCAAGTTCTCAACTACTCCAACTACGAGGAAGTGTTCAGTGCATTAAAAAAAAAAAAGTAGCATATGAAGTGCTAGGTTATTTCTACTTTGGAGGGCTAAGGCACATCCAGGCCAGACATTTTGTCTGGGCTTCAAAGAATGGAGAAAATGAAGGAAAAAAGAACATTATTTCAATAACGTTATTTCTAGTTCAGCCAAATCAGGAGGATATTTCACCTAAAATCTTAACTGTATAACAGAACACAATGTAATTATTTTATTCAAGATCAAGGAACTAAAATCAATATCTCAAAATATTAAATGAACAGATTTTGTAAAGAATTTATAGTTCTCCAATGGTCATCATCCCTAGGTTTTACTGACTGTTAACTCAGCAAACTGCCTTGTCAAAAGTATTACTAATGTTAACCAATATCCCATTCCTGTCAAAATAAACATAAACTGAATCTAAGTTAATGAGATATGAGTAGGTAAATTTTATACTAATCTACCAGTTTTAAATTTTAGAAGACAAAATCTATTTTTATTTTCCTCTTTAGAATAAAGTCATGAAAGATGATACCTATTTTTTCAGGTTTAAGCAGTTTGAAAGAGACTGTCGAGGTTCCTCTGCCACCTGACTTGGTTGTTACAATAATGTCTCCTTTGTCATTTTTGGCTTGTCCCACTCGACATACTATTTTACTTGCAGACATCCACTCTGCTGTCAGGAGGCAATTATGTCCACAAATTGTCAAACCTGAAAATAAAAGCATGTACATAACAAAGTTCAAAAGAATAATGATAAAACTTTAGAGATGTCTATTATGTGAAGACAGTTCTTCTCCTACTAGTATTTGCAACATACTTTTTCCATGACCTGAAAAATAAAAAACATTTCCTTGTTCAACAGTTTGTTATTTCTGTTTATGAATATACTCAATATTATTTGCAAATATACTACTGTCTCTACTGATTTTTGTCTAATCTGTTTTTTCTCTAATACTTAAGACTTCTTTTAGACTATATTTAAGTTTCTTCAAACACTGGAAGTAAAAAATAATGACCATAATAATTATGTCTAGGCATTTCACATCACTTAGACTCTAAGAACCTTAGGTTGCTTTCACAGGCATTAGAAGGGAAATTATTGCTATTCAAAGCCTAAGTTATAGATAAAAATTCCAAAATGTGTTAATAAATGTATGTGTCATTCCCTAAAAACGTATCTATCCATCTTTCTGAAAATGTTTTGCTTGTGCTTTCACTAGTGTTCAGTTATACATGGCACTACAGAATGAACTAAAGTAGACACTTTATTTCAAGCACAGCCTGGAGTCTGATAAATTTAGTAAATGTTCTCAGGCATTACTAGATTACCAGTTCATTTTTCATATCTGCATATCATTTCTATAATGGCAGCTCAGACTGCCTGAGTGTTTCCTAATGACACCATCACTATACAACATAGTGCAATCACAGTAAACTGGCACTACCAAAAGGTCAGCTCAGGCCTGGCATCTCACGTACTGGTACCACGTAAATTACAATAGGCAGTAACCATACAGGGAGGCACAGAAAGATGTGACAACAAGCAGAACACAAATATACTAGGGCAAATACACTCTGCCAGTTGGTCTACTAACTTATTTCTTCTGTATTTTCCCTTTCTGCAAAATAAAGACCAATGTAATAAATATTTATGAAGGGGAAAAAATGTATGTGGCAAAGACCCAGACACTTCACATTTTCTTTATTCATTATTTAACTTTTTATACTGCTCCACAGCCAAGTTAGGTAATTGCAATTTTCTTTTTCAGATACCAGGAACACCACAACTAATACCAAATTTGGGTAAGAAAAAATGTAGGGAGGGATTCAAGTCATCTTTTGTTACAACTTAAAGCACTATTTAGTAAGAATGTTATACTAACCATAAAAGAACAATACGTTTTAAAAACATGTTTTCTGAAGTAACAAATTTTAGAGATTTCCCTAAAACATCTATTATTTTTTCATGTACAGTATTTTATTTTTCTTATTAACAGCACTTAAAGGTTCCTTTAAAACTAAGTTTACTGTTGGATTTTTGAAATGTATGATGACATTTACACGTTTTTAAGTGTATTCATAATTCAAGATTATTTTTTCAAAATGGGAATGTCTTGGTTTATTTCCTGATAATAAATTTTGTTACAAAAAATTTAAAGACTTTAAGAGATTGAAAGACTCCCTGGAATTCTTCTGCATCTCCAAGATAAGCACTTGAAACACTTCAAATACATATTTGCTCAAATAATTTTTATTTGTATGTATCAGCCTATGTATTTTTTAAATTAGTGGGAAATGTTTTAAAATATAAACTGTTTAATTACAGATGGTGGATATTTTGATATCATTCCAGGTCAATACATAGCTTAATATTCATAAATTTTATAAAATTCAAGAAGATTCTTATAATTTTAAATATAATACTTCAGAAAGGAGAATAACTTAACAATAAATGTCAGGGCTTAATGTAAAGTCATTCCTAATTTAAGTTCTGTGCTAGACAACTATCTCATGATTAAAACTGAAGAATAGGAGCAAATTTCAGATATCTAGACATGAAATTTTAAACACATGTTCAGATGAACAAACAAGAATAATATCCATGATGATATAAGTTGAGAAAAAAAACTACTCAGTACAATAGTTTATTCATCTAGTCAGAGATGCTATTAAGGTTCCTCTGATTTAATATCTGTTCCGTATTTTGACTAAAAATATTAATAATCACTATAATTTTAAACAGATTCAAACATCATTTTAAATATCATGAAAATTAAATAAGATCATATGACCTATCTTAATTTCTTAAGCATATTTTTGCTAAGTTAATGAAAGTTTAAGAAATCTGCTTCATGAAATATAATAACATCTTTTTTTTAAGTAACTTGTAGAGTTCCAAATAACTTATTTTTATAGTGTTTTACTTGGCTAGTATAGATATCATCTGAGTTAAAAACATTTAAATTATTTAGTAGATTTTGTTTTTTTAAAAAATGGTTTCTTGGCAATATGTAGGTAGGTTGAAAGCTGAACTAGCAAGGTTTATAAAAGTAATAAACACTTAGTCAAATAAGAGTAGCACTGCCTGAAGCTAAAGCAAGATTAAGATTTACATAACTAACTGTCATGTTTGGGTGCTCACAGGGACAGCCAGTTAAAATGTGGGACAAAACCTCCATCGTTTGGTCCATTTCCATGCACTCTGGGGATTTCTCCAATTTGTATAAAGAAAAGTCTGGAATAAGCTATGTCAAAAACCAAGACACAGGATTAGATAAGACTATCTTAATAAGAATAATAAATACAAAAAATAAAAAACTATAGTGAGAAAAAACAATATAAAATAAGACATTTAAAAAATACTAGTGAAAAGAATTAGCTGGGCAGTACAAAGTTATTAAATACAGTGCTGAGTCCAATGCACTTTCTCTTTTCAAAGGCTTTTCTGAGTGCCCAAAAAACAATCTGTCAACCAGAAGCTATGAGGCGAGAAAAACAAGTTCCAACTCATCATCTCCAGTCCTTTACTAATGGGACCCTCATAAACTAAGAAGTCAAGAGAATGTCTGAATTCCGATAAATTTATGTGGGAAATCTCTCTTCCTCATTCTGAGTGTGTCTGTAGACCCTCACAAAGAGTTCATAGGAAAATAATCCTAACTGACTGTACAATTATATTTATAATTTGTTCTCCACCCTGGGAGTACCTTTTTTAAAAAACTATGATTAGGCTCTATCTTTAGAGACTGAGATTTAGCAGGCCAGAGCTTTTTTTTTTTAAGTTCTAGAGGAGATTAAGACAAGCCAGGGATGAGAACCCTAGACAAACACTAATGGTTTCATAAGGCAGCAGTAAAGGACCTCCATGTTATGCAGAGATAAACACACTATGCAAACCAACATTTAAAAACATTTATATAGTGCCAACTGCATGCACATTTTATCATTCATGTACTTGAGCTTAAAAAAAAATAAAAAAACACAAATTCACTGTAAAAACTAAAATTTGGCTTGCTTAAGATATGTAGAAATAAGGGAAGTCTAAATAAAAAAAAATTAACATCAGTTAATTAATTAGTTTGGAGAGATTTTTCTAGTTGCAAGTCTCAAGCCTTGGCAGGCAGAGGTTATTCATATTTCAGATTAACCGTGGTGCTCTCACCTATGATGGGAGCATCACCACAGCAGAGAAAAGGAAACAAGACGGACAGGTCACAGTGGGGCCTGGTGAGGGCTGGCAGCCCTCTGCAGGGAGAGGGGGAAGAGAAGCCAAGCTGATTTCTGACTTCTGGTGTGGTCAGTACCTAAATCATAATCAGAAGATGAGATTTGGACTTGATTCGGAGGAACAGAAGAGGTCTAATTCATAGAGTCCTTGGGAAAGAATACAGACACTTGTATAATGGAGGGAAAGCTAGAGAGCAAAAATCGCTAAGAGGCTGTTTTGGCAACCTAAGCAGGAGAGATCAAAGCTGGGAAAACAGAAGTAAATCTCAGCTTTGGGAAACTTCCTGAAGGACTTGGTGAAAGGGAATATAGGCAAGAATCAAGAAAACAGTGATTTTAACAGAAAAATCAGAAAACTGAATATCCTTTCATTTTTATTCAAATCATTCTGTACAGATCTCAGTGATATTTTTCTATCATCTTCATTATTAAAAAATATTTTGCCTTAATTGGCCAACAGAAAATTACATTCACGGAGATACACAGCATAGTCTCTGACCCCACCTGTGAGGTCAGCTGGGCCAGTCCCCAGGTTTTCTCCTCTAATGGTAACCTTTGTCCATGGTATTCCTTCATTCGGAGAGATGCCTGTCACAAGGGGAGGTTGTAGTGATCGAGACATTGTGTTCTGTTAAGCACCCTGGAGACCTAATCTGTTAAAAATAAAGGAAAAAAAGAGGGATTAGTGCCAACTGAAATGAACATTGAGTAAAAATAAAAGAATGTTAGACATTCAGTACCAAAACATAAAAAGTATTCTTAAACATACAGTTCTGAGTTTTTTAGCTGCCATATAGCCTGTCTCCCAACATCTCCTGAACATTAAGTTTACTAAGGATGCTTTAGCTCATACTGTTGAGAGAAGTATCAGAAAAAAATAAAAGAAAACTAGGCCATTGGTTTTAGGAACTTTCAACATAATGACAGATATAGAACCTAATGTCACCATTTAGCTCCATGACTACATGTGATGGATCCCAAATATATGCTAGAAACTGTTCTACTCCTGAAGTTAAGGACAATACTAATTATATTCATTAAAAATTACAGCACAGCTATATTCCCATAGGTATACTGAATTTCACTTTATTTTTGCATTATTCTTAGTATGGCAACTCATTTTTAACATGCTCAAATCAATACATCTACATTTTTACAAAACCTATAATGCAGATGTACAGCCAGAAGGGTGAATATGCAAACTCTACAGCGTACGGCAGAGCTGGCAAAAGGGCAGTTTCTGAGGCAAAATATACCTCTGTTCAAGTCCTGATGCTCCAATTTACTCTGTTTTCATATATGTGAAATGGAATTAACAGAACCTTTCATAAGGCTAAAATAAAAATCACATAGGATAACCCTAGCAAAGCGCAGCACCTAGCATACAGTAGGCAACCACTGAATAGTGAACCTCCCTTACAAACCCCTGCGGAACTCCTCAAGTGTCCAAGGCTTCAGATGCCCCAGGAGATGAGGGTGAGGTTCACAGCGAACATCAAGTCCTTGCTGGTTATCTTCACTTAGTAACAAGTTAGACATCCAGCTCCTGCTTTTACCCTGAAGCCAGGCAAGGGATTAGAAGTTAAGTCTCTAAAGAAATGAGACATCAGGCACAGGGACGGGGAGGGAGGCAAGTGCCAACCTACAGAGCAAACTGTGGGGCTCTTCGGGCCTTTTCCCACCCTGCTCTTACGGCTGCCAGCAAGTGTGTAAGCCGTCCCTGCCCAGCTCCACCATGTCCGGATAACTAGGATATTATTCTCTGGAGAAAAACAGAACCAAACCTGACATGCAAGGGTCCTGTCCAAAAAAGGAAGGGCTACGCGCAGTCCCATCACCTGAAGGAAGAGCCACTTAAAGACAAACTCTCCCAGACAAACTAAACAAATTATCTGTTCACAGCTACACTCTAAAATATACAAGGACAGCCAGGCTGTCAGATGGTCAGAGAACATATGTGAGACATGGAAGTCACATGAACAAAAAGACCCAGAGGAAACAGAGATAAGGCAGGTGTTATGGGCTGAACTGCATCCCCCCAAAAAATCATGTTACAGTCCTAACCCCAAGTACCTCAGAATGTGACAGTATGTAGAGATAGGCCTTTAGAGATTCTTAAAGTCAAAGGAGGTCCTGGCGGGAGGGAGGGGGGTGCCTAATCCAATGTGCTTCATGTTCTTTCAAGAAAAGGAGACCACGACACACGCACATACAGAGAGATGACCACATGAGGTCACAGGGAGAAGGTGGCATCTACACGCCAAGGAGAGGGGCCTTAGAAGGAACCAACTGTGCTGACACCTTCATCTTGGACCACTAGACTTCAGAATCATGAGAAATTTAGCCACCAGTCCATCAAATTTTGTTATGGCAGCTCTAGCAAACTAACACAGCAGGTAACAGGAAAAAAGAAAAACCTTCAAAAGTACTGTAAATTTTGACCCCAAATTAGTATCTTCAGAGTAGAAGAAAATTTTTATCCCTAAAAGAATGAGATGCCATGAAAAGGAACCAATCCAAAAAAAAAAAAAAAAGCTCTGGAAATTTTCAAAAGAAGAAAAAAAAAGCAAGATTTATATCTACTGTTAATGCAGGAACTGCCCATTGGTTTAACCAAAGGTGGTAAGAAGACTGCAAATAGGCAGATGTATATTTGAGGAGCACGAAAAGGGGATGAAGAGAAAAAGTGAGAGTGAATCATAAATTCTATCTAAAATTGACTAGCAAGATAAAGGCAGATTAGACAAGACCTGGAAACGAGGTGCATGTCACAAACAAGAGTAAACTAGCATGGGGTATGTTGTATAATAAAGAATGTGACTGACCTTTGTTACTGGTTTCTGGGAGAGAGACTCAAAATCCAAGGAGTGTCTTTGTTACTCATTCGCTCTCAGTATCATACATACGCAATATTCATGACCACTGACTTTCAGGGCTGGCCAAACCACAAAGAATCCATGTGATAAGGGGGCTAGGGTTTCAGCCATTCAACATCAGCTGGACCTCCTGGAGGCTGAGTTCAATCTGATGGCCAATGATGCAATCAGTCATCCCTATGTAATTTCTTAGTAACAATTAAAATAGCAAAACAGCAACAACAAAAACAAAGGTTGTACAAGTAAGCCATCACTATTCATCCAATAAGCCAAATGAGACAACTGAAGGTCACCCTGAACTCCCTTCCTTCCCTGCCACACCTCTGAGTCAAACAGAATCTTTATGTCAGAATCCAAAGGCAACTATTCCTCTCAATTCTGTTGTTGCTTCCCAATTAAGGCCTTCATCTTATCTCCCTGGATACTGAAATCTAACTGGTTACTCCACCCCTATTATCTCTCCAGCAATCCATCCTCAGCAAACACCAGAGTTAATTTTCCCAAATATCTAACCAACATCATCCCTGATTTAAAAAAAAGAAATCTTCTATGATACCCCACTGCTCAGCAGTTGCCAGTAACCACTGATAAAAACCATTAGCATTTTATTAAAACCAGTCATAACTAGACTGTTCCACATTCTATACTTCACCCTCAATCATTTCCCTCATTCACCTGACATGAATCACCTAAGCCCATTCACCTCTTATGAGCCTTCTTAGATATAAAACCTCAAGCAACAATATTTTAAAAAGAGAGAAATCAAACGTGGTTCAATTAAAAACTTTCGTGCTTCAAAGGACACCATTAAGAAAGTGAAAAGGCAATCCACAGACTGAGAAAAAATAACTGAAAACCGTGCATCTGGTAAGAGACTTGTATCTAAAATATATAAAGAACACTTATAACTCAATAGTAAGAACAATACAATAAAAAAAATGGGCAGAAGATCTCAACAGATATTCCTCCAAAGATACAAATCTAATAAGCATATGAAAAGATTTCCAATGTCATTAGCCATCAGAAAAATGCAAATCAAAACCACAAGGAGATACTGCTTTATACCCACCAGGAAGCTTGAAATCAAAAAAGCAAAAAATGTGTTAGCGAGGATGTGGAAAAATTGTAATCATTGTATATCACAGGTGGAAATTTAAAAGGTACAGTCACTCTAGAAAATAGTTTGGCAGTTCTTTAACAAGTCAAACACAGAGTTTTTACATAATTCATCAATTCCCTCCTAAGCATGTAACTAAGAGCAATGAAAAATATATCCACATAAAAATATATCCATGAATGTTTACTGCAGTTATTAATAATAGCCAAAAAGTGGAATCAACTCAACTGTCTACCAGTTGATGAATGGATAAGTACTATGTGATACAACCATATGATGAAATATTATTTGGCATGAAAGAAAAGGGAAAAAGGAATGAAGTACTTGATACATGATACAAAATGTATGACCCCTGAAAATGAGACCGGGAGTGTGGATGTAGTCAGAGTAGGGTGAGGGCCTCCGGAAAAAAGCAAGGCAGGATATCTGCAGTTAGAGCAATGTAACCGCATGCAAGAAAACCCCCTACTAAAACTCTGTGTTAAACATTCAGCTCTAGAGTCATTCTTCAGTGAGATCAGTCGGTGTACCCCAGATAAAGAAGAGTAGCACATGTTTATTTTATGCTAATCATTTATAATCATGTGTAAGATTCACTTTAACATGCTAAAAGGCCCAGGCCTACGTGCTGTCTTTCCTTCTTCAGATCTGATGAAGTGATTTTGCAAGCTGGGCGAACTAATTTAGTGTGCTAGCTCAGCCGTAACACAGTAAAAGGCAAGAAGGATTCCACCTTACAGATAAGACTGCACTTAACTTAGGCTTTAGCAAACAATGATGCCTCAGCCCACCTTGGGGGCTGAGCAGGTGGCCTTGTTTCATATGCCCCCAGACCAAGATGCTGGTATCTCAGGGAGAAATTAACAGAGCAGGAGGTTACTTGTATCAAGTTAATTCTAAATATTCTAGGACCACTTAATAAGTCCACACCCCTAAACTTTTTTTCATGTTCCTGAAAAATTCTCATTTGCCTATAAAACCCCCTAGACAATGCACCACCCTGGACTCTCTTGTCCCCTCCTGGCGTGAGCCGGGAGCTCTGTCCTCTCACTTAATCTCTAAATAAAATCCTGTACCTCGCTCTCCTATCTTGACTGTTTGTGAAGCTCATTCTTCGCCTTCGTGAACAAGAACCCTGGCATCAAAAACATTATGCTAAGTGGTAGAAGCCAGTCACAGAAAACCACATATTATATAATTCCATTTATACATAAATGTCTGGAATAGGCAAATCTACAGAAAAAAAGTAAATGAGCAGTTGCGGAGAGCTGGGGAGGGTGGTGGAGGCTTGGAGGAAATGGAGAATGACATGCTAATGAGTATGGCCTTTCTTTCTATTGCGATAAAAATTCTAAAATTAGTTGTGATGACGGTTGTATAACCATATGACTATACTGAAAGCCACTGAAATTTTTTTTTTCGTTTAAGACTAATGTATTTAAAATTCAAAAACCTGTTTTTAGTTTCTTAGGTTTTTAAACTCAGTTTATGAATCTCCCTTTTGGGTTTTTGTTGTTATCTGTAATGACTTCCCTGACTTACAATTCACATACATGCAATTCACCCATTTACAATGTACAGTTCAGTGGCTTTCAGTAAATAATGGAGTTGTGCATCCATCACCATAGTCCATTTTAAAATCTTTCCATCAAGAAGAAGC